CACTGAAGGAGACACTTCTGGAAACAAACATTAAGCTAATACCAATACTATCAGTTCTGGCCCCGATTTCCACGATCCTTCTATTAAATTATGCAGATTTTGTGCCTGTGTTCTCACCTCAACGACAGGGACATGGGCAAGCATGGCAACGAGCCACAGGTTTGAAGGTGAAGGAGCACCTTTGAAGGCTAAGGTATTTTTTGAGCCAATTTGCAAGGCTAATTTGAAGCGTAAAGGTCAATAAAATATTCCCAAACCTAGCTATGGAACAAACGAAGAAGCCCTTCATTTAGAGAAGCCCAGACAGTGGGGGAGGGAACCATGGTATACACTCTACGTCACGGGTCCCCCCCAGGAGTTCCACAAGCATCTTTCTGTAACCCCCGTGACCTGCTCTTCCCTCTCCTCTACAGGCTGCTCTCCTGCTGACCAAGTGTGGGACTGAAGGAGGGAGTGTCAGGTGAAGGGTGAGTGGCCACGAAAGTCAAAGGAGCTAGAAACAGCTCAGCTGTTACACCTTACACATATTTTGAGAGTCTCAAAGATTTGACTAAGATCAAAAGGCACCTTAGTTATAGTTAAATCGTGGTGGTATGATAACACCAAGTGCAAAATCCCTTCAGTTAGGCATTTCCCATTGTCCCAACTATTTTACCTGGGCCAGTGAAAGAAATGTATGGAAGTTCTGAGTACACACACGAATCTTTTCCTGTTTTAGTAAAGGAGGCAGGAAAGAGAACTAGGAAAGATATTCTGGAGTGGTTCTATGTTGGCCTCAAGAAGCAGGATTCTAAAGAACATGTTGGTCTTAATTACATTTAAGGTCGTATTCCTATCCCCTAATACTTCTTTATTCTTTTACAGTTTAAACCATAGGACGGACTATGGCTGTCAAGTGTGACGAGTTAAGATCATAAACCATTTTTTACATCCTTTTTCAAAAATCGTAACCATCGGTAAAGTAGAAGCAGCAATTGAATCCTGGGTGGGCAAGGCCGAAGATTTATCTCAGCCAAGGAAAGCAGTTATCAGCTCTCTAATCCGAGTGTAACTTTCGGTACTTTCTGTCTGCATCACACTCCAGTGCTCAGCCACCGGCACTGACAATCCTTTGTGTATATTTCCTCCCTGTGAAGACTGTGTTCTTTGAAGACAAGAACCTTCTTGTAAGTTCTCTGGTTTCTCTATACTACTCAGCATGATGTTCTAAGGATACAGTTGGTTCCTCTGTAACTTATCAGCTCCTCAGAAAACACAAGCACCTGGCCTTTGTGCTGCACATTCCCAAGAAATGCAAAATACATCACAAATAGCAAATTGCCTCATTAATCTGCCAGGCATTTATGATGAGCTGGTAGCAAAGATTATTTCTAATACTGATGCTATGAACATAAAACATTTTTATTTTCAAAGTACTTCTACATACAATTTCTAATTCTCACAATTTGCCCGACCTTGATTGACAGGTATTTTCCACCTGAATGAACCAGAGCTCACAGGCACAAATGGTTTCTCTAGCCAATCAGCGCTCTCAGACCCCGGCTCGCCTTTCTAACCCACTTCCCTTAACCTTAGTTTGTGGATGGACAGACAGAACAGGGTTGGAAGGAACATGAGGCCTCATGGAAGGGTTGAGAATGGAGTCCAGGCGTCTAATTCCTAACCTAAGACAGGTGTTCAAAAACGTCATGCCTAGCTTTAGCCTGCCTCTCAGAGTACAAACACTGAGCAAAACCCATCAAATGTCTTAGGACAGCCACAAAGAACAAGACTCTCCAACAGGTGATGGACTGGAAAAGATCTTGCAGAATCCTCACAGCCTGAGATGGGCTTCCCTCTAAAAGGAAGACTCCTCACTCCTCAGGTCTTCTCCCGTGCTTCTCCCTCTTCTTCTTCAGAAACCCGACATTTTTTACTAAGCCCCAGGCATTGTTCTAAGCACTTCATACACGTACCAGCTCATTCACAGCAACCCCACAAGATGGCTATTTCTACCCTATCTCAACAATGAAGAAATCGCTGTGCACTCCATTAGTGGTAGAGCTGGTGTCTGGCCCATGCCTCTGGGGTGGGTATTCTTCACACTGCAGTGCCGTGTACAGGCAAGGGGAGCTAGTCCTTCAGCAGCGCTTCACCAACTCGCTGTGACTAGTACTGCTCTGCAGCAGCTCACCGCTCCTGCGGGTACCACCTCATACGTTCTCCATATGCTCTGTCTACCTCCCATCGTCCTCTCTCCCCTTAGCCCTAGTTTGTGGGTTACTGGTTTTTGTTTTTTTTGTTCGTTTGTTTTTGTTTGTTTTGCTTTAATATAGTGTCTCACTCTGTCGCTCTGGTTGGCCTAGAACTTGCATGAATCCTCCTGCCCCCACAGCCTGAGTGCTGGGATCCCCGTCTGTGGCTCCCGCCCCCACGGCCTGAGTGCTGGGATCCCTGTCTGTGGCTCCCCCCCCCCCCCCCCCGCCCCACGGCCTGAGTGCTGGGATCCCTGTCTATGGCTCCCCCCGCGCCCCGGCCTGAGTGCTGGGATTCCTGTCTGTGGCTCCTGCCCCCACAGCCTGAGTGCTGGGATCCCTGTCTGTGGCTCCTGCCCCCACCGCCTGAGTGCTGGGATTCCTGTCTGTGGCTCCTGCCCCCACAGCCTGAGTGCTGGGATCCCTGTCTATGGCTCCCCCCGCGCCCCGGCCTGAGTGCTGGGATTCCTGTCTGTGGTCTTGGCTAGTACTTAATAGGAAGAAGACATTTTACCAAGTAGGACATCCCAATCAGTAAACCTGCAAATCTCTTTCCCAGTACTACTTATCCCTTTTTGCTTTACTATATTCAAAACAAATAACAAGACCTAGCTACTTTTCCTCAAAGCTTAGTCCACCAACAGGTGGTCTGGCTCATGCCTAGGGTCACTCTGCCCGCTGAGGGCTCTTATTCTGTTCTCTGGCCATCCCTTCTACTTCCCGTGTCCATCAGGTATTGCCAATTAGCATGCAGACCCACTGGAGTACCCTTCCAGCACCAAAAAAAAAAGAAGGGCCAGTGAGATGGAAGGAGAGAACCAACTCCCAAGGGTTGTCCACAGATGAGCCACACACAGAGTGGATAAATGTACAAAAATAAATAAAGCAAACCCAACGCCAATCTACTCTAGGGGAGTCTTCTACTCCCCTTAGAGTCAAGTTTCTCTTATGAACGTGACATGAGACACAATGTTCTCCTGCCATTCACCGCTCACCATATGGAATTAACTTCCATCCCCAGATCACAGGACCGCTGTTTCTGTGGGGGTCATCCTGGCCACTGGTCTAACACCTCACTCCATCATCTATCAGGCATGTACACGGTTGCTGTAAATGTGGCCCAATACAAAAATGAAAACCTTACTGAAAACATGACATGACTTTCTTTGTTCAGTTGGAAAACCCTCCGCTCTGTGGTTCTCAAGCTCGGACTCTACAGACGACGACGACGACGCTGTCAACCTGACACCACAGGCTGGACACCCCAGCTCGTTCTGTGAGCAATTCCTTCCTTCTCGAAGCTGCACTTTCCTCTCGCTCTCTCCAGCTACTCCTCCTATGGAGCATCCCCTGAGGCGCTTCTCAACCAGCTCAAACGCTCTGAGTCCCACAGGACTCTGCGCTGGGTTCTCTTCTCCTTCAGTGAGTTCCTGCTATGCCAACAGCTCCCAGACTCACACAGCTGGCTTGGCCTGTACTCTGCAAGCACAGCTGCTACTTGACGCTTCCCCGGATGCCTCAAAACCAACAGGGATGAACACGAATTATCCACCTTCGTTTAGTCTTCCTTCCCAAACTATTTCCCTTCTGGTTTTCCTCATCTTAACTAATGCCTCTTCCATTTACCTCGCATGAAGTCACAGGTTAAATATTTCTTCTTCCGAGAAGGACCCCTGAAACAGTGGTTATCAACCTCTGGGTCATGACTCCTTGGGGGTAGTCAATGACCTTTTCACAGGGGTCGCCTAAGACCATCAGAAAACACAGCTATTTACATTATGTTTTATAACAGTAGCAAAATTAGTTATAAAGTAGCAAAATAATTTTATGGTTGGGGGGGTCACCACAACACGAGGAACTGTATTAAGGGGTCGAAGCCTTAGGGAGGTTGAGAACCACTGCCTTAAAACCACCCACCTACATGAACTCCTCCATCGGTTTTCAGAGCACCTTGGGTTTGCCGCACAGGATTCCCTCCATGTTTCCTAACTGTAGAGGTCATGTGATCACCGTGAAACATTCATTCACCTTTCCTACTAGACTCTAAGCTCCATGAAGGTAGGGACCAAGACTGACATTACTCATCCTTCCATCCCTACCGCTTACTATGGCGCCCAGAGTAGTAGGTATTGGTTCAAAAACTACTATTCAAGAGAAGGAAATGAGTATGTCCAAGGGGTCTTATCACAGCAGAATTCTTTTTTTATTTTATTTATTTATCTTTTATTTTTGAGAACGGGGTATTACTATGTAGCCCTGGCTGGCCTGAAACTCTCTATTATATAGAGTCTAGTCTGAACTCAGAGAGATCCACCTGCCTCTGCCTCCCAATGCTGGGAATAAATTCGTGAGCCACCACATCTAGTCCTCACTGCACGACTCTTAACAATAGCTAAGACACCGAATCTATCTAAGCAGCTATCGATGGCTGAATAGATTTGAAAACTATGAGGAACCCTCTTCCCCACTGGGACTATTTGGCCTTAAAAAACATTGTAACCCTGTTACATGTAACACAGATGAATCTGGAGGACATATAAAATAAGCCAGGCGCAGGAAGGCAAATACCGTATGATTTCACACACATTTAACAAGTTGAACTCAGAAACAGGTAAGAGAACGGCAGCTGCCAGAGATGAGGGGGAGGGAGACAGAGCTGAATGATAGAAGGAAAAAACATCAACTATTGAGAGAAAGCTAAAGGTTTCTGCAAAGATCACATTCCTAAGCCAGGCACGTTTTCACGCTACCAGCCAAGTGTACTCACCCAAACCCCAAGGGTCACGACACTGCAGAGTTCATCCTGGGGGTGAGGAGTCGGGAGTCCCTTCCTCAAAGGTGACCCTCACCTAGAAGAGAATCAAGTGGGTCAGAGTTCCTAAGTAGACCTGAAAATGTCAACAATATCGATGTGACAATCGTGGAATAACAAGACAAAAACAAGCTTCCCATTTACTCTAGGATTTCAAAGAGGAGGGCGCCATCTCACGTGTAAACAGAATCGACTTCCAACTGTTTAGGATGTATATAGAACGTGTAGATATTTCAAGGCCCTTGCTGTTTCCTTTCCATCCCAACTACACATTCTGTTTCCAGAGGCTGGAGCGATACTGAGTGCAGATAAAATCAACTTTTCCACTTTGAAATTTCCAGGCATTTAATGGAAGAAAAAGAAAGCTCACATTTTCTGCTTCTACCACTTCCCACCAGTATAGAGATTAAAGGTTAACCGCGAAGGTGCACCGAGACAAAACACCAAGGGTACTTCTCAATTTACAATCTGAGGGCCACGTGCGGCTACTCCCTCTGCACATCCGCAACTCTGTGTGGCAAAGGCTGGCAAGAAAATGTATCTCCAAACTTTGGAAGGAGCTTAGGACTGAACCAACTTGCTTTCCTTCAATGCCGACTGTGTGTGTGTGCGCAAAGTGATGTGCTGAACTGAGGAGAGCTGGCTACGTGAACGATTTCCAACGTCAACCTCTGCAGACTAGAATTACAACGCTTTGCCAAAAATGTGTCGTTTAAAGAAATTACACTTATTTATTTATTTAGTACGTGTGTGCATGCACGCACATGTGTGCTATGGTCCATGTGTGGAGGTCCAAGGAAAAGTTGTGGGAGTCAGTCCTCTCCTTCCACCATACGGGTTCCGGTTCCGGTCTTATCGGTTCAACTCAAACCGTCCGACTTGGCACAGGTGTCTTCCTGGCTGAGCCATCTCACTGCAGAAGCTACAGTGTTCTGACTGCAAGGGCAGCAAAGTTCCAGCAGGCTTCAGAGTCAAATTATTTAGGGATCTTTAAAAGTGCAGGCTACGGGATTAGCAAAGTTTTAAGTAAACTCACAAATTAATTTGACTGAGCTCAGAACCAAAATTCCAACCTCAATTCTCCCGACGACGCTTTCCCACTGCCCTGCTCTACGAAGTCAAGTTTGTTAGAACTACGTCATGTTTAACAAATTTCATTTGTATGCTATGACCACTACTCCATAAAAGGCACGGTGTCATACTTAGAACGTGGAGCTAAAAGGCCTTAGGATTCCATTCCTAGCTCACTCTTAACTTCTGGCTTGCCAACAACGCAACAGTTTCTTCAAGCACACAAAAGGAAGAGCCGATCTCTCTCCAGAATGTAGAGAAAAAGAAATGGTTCAGTGGGCACATGCAGAAAACCTCAGTTCACATGAGATGTTATTGTGTGTTTTAGTATTCATGGGGCAAAATGCATCTACTGTCCTTCAATGGCTACTAAAGTTTAAGAAAACAGAAATTCATATCAACTTAAAGAATTCTGACAAAATTCAAGTGTTCAAAGTCAATTCTAACTATCATCCTTAAGAATAATGGCCACCTATATCCCTTTTCTGTGAAATTTTCTTAGATTGCCAGCTACCCATATATGTCATCCAGGACCCCTAGTACTCTACTCACACTATTTAACACTTTGAAAACAGTATCACTGCTATAGTTAGACAGGGAACTCCCCGAGGACAGTGTCAATCATCATCTCAACACCTGGTACCCAGCAAAAAACCAACAACTGAGGGTTGATCGACGTATTACAGTGAGCTTGCTACTCCTAGGTCACATTCACGCAAACCCAAGGGGACATGATAAATACTATTCCACTTCTCACTGTCTGCCTTTCTCCTCAGCTTTCTGAGCTGAGTCAAGCAAAAGGCCCCAGATCACCCAGGGCAATAGCATATGTAGTTTTGACTTGCATCTGACTTGATGACTTTCATTTTGGGAAACTTCTAGAATAGACAGCAGTCCAGTTTTACATTACAAGAAACCCCAGAGAGACAAAAATCCAACATATTCACAGAAGTTCCAGCGTATGATGAGGTTTTTACCTTTCAAGTTGTCCACTCTGCCCTGTCTTCTACATTGGGGCAGGGAGGGACGGACAGAGGAGGAGAACTGTCACCCCACCACACAGGCGTTTTTAGGTCAAAGCGGAGTGACACCAGTTAGTCCCACATGCAGTCCTACGATAAGAAGGAAGGAAAGTTCATTTCAAACTCACACTGACTCCAAGGAAAACTACCCATTCCCCAGTGGGCCAAGGCCAAACGGACACCTGGAAGAAGAAATGGTAAGAAAGCAATTAGTCAACAATGGGGCAGGAAGGCAAAGCCAAGAAAACTTTAGACACAACTCAGAGAAAGGGACTGCCCATCTACCCCACAGGGGAACGACCTGTGCTAATGGCAGCCAGGGATCATGGACAAGGAAAACCTACCAGGCACAAAAGCGTCCTTTCAATTCTTGTTTCTAACCTTTTCGACAACCAAGAATGGCCATCACAGGTTGCAAAATGGTCTTTGGCTTTTCATGTGGTCTCTATGTCCCTGTTCTTAACACGATGGAGATACTTAAAAATATCACAAAGCCCAAAATATAAGCAGCCTTAAGCTAACTTTCAAAAATCACAGTCTAAAAAAAAAAAATCAGAATCAGTTGGTCTAGGGTAGTTCTTAACTCCACAATTCATGGCTCCTGCAGAGTCTGTACACAGACCTGGGGGAGGAGAGTGGCTTGGAGTCTTCAGGGGATCGATACAACAGCTCATCATTTTGACTAATCTCTAAGTAATGAAGTTAGCACAGCCTTCAACAGTGGGTGTAGGATTAGCAACGCTGTGACTGTGCCACCAACAGTAAGTACCACCACACATTTTTCACGTCACATTAGTTGTTGAAGATACGTTGACATAATGACACATACTTTTCCCTTATCACTACTCAAAATCACAGTCTCATTAGACATTATTCAGTGTGTTAGAAAGCAGCAGACACATTACCATATCACCTCGAACATTTTGACAACTCATTTTGTACTTCTACGTATTTTAGTTCATGCATTTAAGAAACATTCTCAGGTGGGACCCTATATCACTTGATTGCCAGAGTACTGGGATACAGAAACACTAAGAAGCCTACTCTCCCATCATATTCCTGAAGGCAGAGAGAGAAGGCATTTTACCCACATTATCTCATGGCTGGAGAGGCCTAGCCAAGAAACCAAGGAATATGCCTTAGGCCACAACACAAGGCTCCTGTAGCCTAGTCCAACACCAGAGCATCTACTTTCTCACTCGGCGTGCTGATTTTCGCTCGCACATTTACAATTACCATCGAAAGTACTGTCTTGCCACTGAACACTAAAAGGAGGTATTATCTTCCAAAATTAATATAAAACCCCAAATTCACACAACAGACCAAAACATGTATACAAAACATCCCCTTTTGTTCTTTGATTAAACATATTACCATAATTATACAAAAGTTGAATTTGGTCTGTTAGTGAGACAGTTAAAAATAGGATAGAAAAAAAAAAAAAAAAACTTGTGCTACATAATCTCTCATCCAGAGGTGTTCAAAGAACTTTTCAGACAGGCATTAACTTGCTAGGCTGAAAGGCAGCTCCGAGTGGTTAGAGCAGGCAGCATCACCATGCCACAGGCAGGAAAACAAGAAAACCAGAGATCTGTTCAAAGTTGAAAGTCAGTCAACCAGAGAGCTAACATCTTGATTCCTAGTTCAAGGATTTTTACCACTGTACCAGGTCACCACGATCCAATATTCAGCCAGTTAACAATGCTTGTGAAAGCTCTGGGTCTTTCCCCTACACACTGTAGAGCATTTTTCTTTGGTTTACAGCAGCAGACATTTCTGAAGGTCAAGGGGAAATAACCCACAGAAAAAAAAAATTCCAATGCATATAAGTCCTTTTTTGCTTGTCTTGGTTAACTAGAATCCAGAACAAAATATTCCTTTTGCTCAAGAACCAGTTCCATGGTATGTGCCCTATAAATAGAAAACTATACAGACTTTCTGCTTTCATCTTTAGGCCAATGACTTTCCTATCCACCTATCATATATTTTGAAACTATTATACTCAGCACATTGATTACAAAGACTTCCATGGCTCAACACCAAACTTCTAGGTCACAAAACTGTCAAACGCCATACATACACCTCCACACTGCTTCAACTTATCCAAACCCACCGTTAATGGAGCCCTCATTCCTCAAAGTGTGTCTGTAACACCTAACGAACAGACCCTCTCCTTACTCCATCTCTATCAACAGAAGAAAGAGGGCTTTGTGACTGGTCCCCAGGACTATCAGATTTGCACACAAAAATTTCTTCAATGCTAAACTTCCCGATGGCTAGCGTCCAGTCAAAAACTTTCAAATCAACAAGACAACCATATTGAACAATCTCCAGCCACAGGTTCTACACACTGTTTCACCCTCCAAGACCCTTTGGTTCCACTTCTCAACTATTTTACTTACCCTTGTTACCTGCTATAACTAATTCAGCACTCTGCGTTCCTACACAAGAGCCCAAACCTCTGTCGCCCAAACAAGCATTTAATTCCATAATACATCAAATGCTAACAAATACTCTATCAAACTGACTTTTTACACGGCCACTCCATCATTTTCCCACTGAAGTCACTGCCAGGGGTTGACTTGTGCTTGCCTTAACTAAAGTCTAACTTTGCATCAATTGCATTCGGCCTTGGAGACTACCTCCACAGACACATATTTTCGTCCATTTCTCTACCCTGTGGTAATGACTTTATGAAGTCCCCACCCGACTCCAATCTTAGCCTCGGAATCACTCTTAACACTTAAAAGAACGCTCTTCCTGACCTCCCGCAGCAGACCAAAGCTCTTGGAGGACAGAATCCAAGACTTCTTTCTCATCCTTGGCAACCTTAACATAAGGTCCCCAGCAGTAGTACTATTACAGGCCTTGTCCTGCCCTCTGGACTAAACCAACTCTTAGGGTATCTCCACTTCACCAAGCTCACCCAACACTTACCAGTGACATCTTAATAGTCTTTGCAACTTTCAAAGGCCAGCCAGCGTCTAGGGCTCCACTTTGAAAATCACTGGTGTGTTCTACGACCCCCACAATGACTCAGTGACCTAGACATCGCCAACTCACCTGCTGGAACCCTTTACAACTCAGACATTCCTCTAGGCTTTCACCTCCCCCAACCCCTCAACAAGTCACTGGCTTGAGGAGTCCCCTTTCCCCCTACGCATCTCCGGGGTCTTACAGACCCCACCAAACTCAACCAGAAATCCCTAATTTCGCGCTCCTTCTCCTTTCCATCGCCCCTCCATCCCAGGACCCCGAGACGGTCTTCTCCCCTCAGGTAACCTCTCCCAAGCACAGCTTTGGGACACAACCTCTAAAACCCCCGAGAGATGCCCCGATCTCGCCCACAGCTCCCGAGGCTTCCCTGCCTCCCCCAACAGGTTCCTCCAGACTCAACTCGCCAAGCCAGCGCCCCGACCCCCGGAGGCCCCCCGGCCACACGCGCACGCGGACCCGGCCCCCGCCGCGCCGGCCCGCCCCTCCCCCTCCCCGGGGCCACTTACCGGGGGCCGGAGCCGGGGAGGGGGCGGGCGCGGGCGGGGGCTGCGGTCCCGGGCTGCTCTCAGCCCCGGGGGGCCGGGGCCGGGGCCAGCGGCAGCGGCAGCGCAGCGTCTCCCCCAGGCGGCGGCGGTGGCGGCGGCGGCACCGTCCCACTCCCGCAGGCACACATAGGCTCCATTGTCCGCCGGCGCCTCCCCCTTTCCGGCTCCCCCTCCCGGGCCCGCCCCTTCCCCCCTCCCCTCGGCCCTCCCCCCAGCCGCACCGCGCCACGAAAGGTACCGCGGGGCCCCCGCCTCGGACGCGAGCGGAGGCGCGCCCCTCCCCCCCGGCCCGCCCGGCGGGGAATGGGGCCCTGGCCCCGCCGCCGCCGCCGCCGCCAGGGCCCGCCCCCTCCGGGGGAATGGCACCCGTCCCCCCCTCCCCGGAGGCGCTCGATGGTACCAGCCCGCCGCGGCCTCCACCCCCCCCCCCCTCCCCCGCCTGGCCCGGGAGAAGCCGCCCTCGCCCCGCCCACCCGGAGCCCCGCCCCCGCGCTACACGAGGGCCCGCCCTGTCGGCCCCGCCTCCTGCTTTGCATAACCCCGCCCGCCCCGCCCCGCCCCGGCTAGTCACCGGGTCCCCGGCGGTGACGCCCACTCCCCCCCGCTTTAAAGCCGCAGAACCCTCTTTCTCAACTAAAAGATCCTCCCGCAGGACCCGCGGGGCCGGTGGTGCGGCGGGGGTGGTTCTCTTCCTTCCCTCGCCCTCCTCCCGACGCTCACTCACCCGGACTCCCCACGGCCTCCAGCAGTACTGGGAGCCACCCGAGGGGACTAGAAAAGGCGCGGAAGGGGGGAAGGGCAGAGTGGAATTTGGCCATCTTTGACAGAAACTAATTGGAGCCGCCGCAGGAACCGGTCTGCCCTCACTCTCTCCCGCCGCTCCGGTCCGGGCCTAGTCCCCAATCTTCATGCCACCTCCTCACACCTCTCTGCTGCGATTCCGCCCGGGCCCGACCAGCCCTCCCACCCGCCTCTCGGTGGCTCTACCTTGGCCAGGGCAAGCTTTCTTCCCTCTGGAGAGCAGGCCCCCTGGGCTCGCACTCCTCTCCTGCTTTGCAGAGCAGACTCTCTGGGGTCCTGCAGGCGCGGTGGCTCGTGCAAGGTCTCCTTCACACCTCGGGCCCTGCCCCCGCCCCGCCCCGCCTGGCCATCACCACCTAGGGTCCCCAGAGGGCACCTCCTGCCCTGGCCCCCAGGTTTTCTCCCAACCACAGGATTACTCCCTTCATGTTTCCGAAGAGCTTTGTGGTGGAGAATTCGAAGCCGGTACGTTCAGCACTATCCCCAGTGAAGTGAGTGTGAGCTCATTAGATTACACTTTTTCACATCATGGTTTAACGCTCAGATTCCGGTTAGTCCTATTTTGTGGGGCTGGTTTTACTACCGTGACCAGCCGTCGTTACTGTCCGCCCTCCCCCACAGAACCCCACTAATCTGCGAATTTGTACTTTGCGGAGTCAATCTTAAAGATGTTTCTGCAACTGTGCACTGGTCCAAAGCTTTTCTAACACAGCTGAATGAATTCTGTCTATCTGAGAAGGTACATAA